TGTCTGCCTTTCTCAGTGTTTCTTATCAGGGTTATTGACATTGGTGTGTGTTATCACTAGGATGTTAACCAGAATCATTGTATTAAGATGGCATCTGTGCGTTTCTTTGCTGTAATGTTTCTTTTTTGTTTCTTTTTAATATCTTGGGGAAAATACTTTGGGACTATGTAAATACCATGCTTCTTCTCCAAATTTTGTCCACTGGTTTTAGCATCCCTCATGGCCTTTCCCTGCATGTTATTATCTGTCTTGTTCAAATGGTGATCTGCTGTCTTCTTCAGTTCTTCTAGTTATTAGTTGAAATTCTTTGTAAGACAGAACTATTTCTTCTTTTCTCTACTTATTCTGTCATTTTTAAATCTCTGTATGGACTCATGAATACCAATTTGAAGTTTTGGATTATAATCCAATATTGTCATTCTTTGTTTTGCTTTTCAGATTGTCCCAACTCTGGCCACTGAGAGCTCTTTCACGTTGGTTCATATTCCCTGCTGACCTGGCCCCACCCCTTTCGAGCATTTCATTGTTTCTGTCATCACAAGATGTTCCAGAAATACCATGTCATTTTCCTAATACAGTCCTGGAATCAACCTCCTCTCCAAGGCTCCTTGGATCCTTTTACTGGAGATTGATATTAGAAAACAAGTTTGGGCACTGATGTGCTCATTACTACTGGGCTGTCATTGCTCTTAGAAAATATACGCCAAGCCATGCATACCCACATCTAAAGTTGTTTCTGTGACTGTTTACCTGTAATATACAGGGGTGGGCAAACAGGTTTACAACTGTGAGTAGGTGAAACAGTTTATTCTTGTATTATTACTAATTATTTTATTATTTATTATATTATAACTGTAAACCTACTTTTGCCCACCCCATATTGAAAAACCATGAGCTCCTATGTATATTCATATACTTTTCCTGTCAGTGGGACATTTTTAGGAAAGATGAGGAACAAACACATACTTTGCTATCTTTAACCAGAAAACCCAATTATTCAGATAAAAACTGTAAATGAATACCTTTGAGGATTTGTTCTACTTAAGAAAAATTACTGTGTTTTCCCCAGTTAATACGACCAAATGTGTTCTTCAGTCTTTCAGACATGAAAGATCTTTTGAATCAAACCAATCTAGACTGGCGTAAACAGAGCTGTGCAAACAGTCCCGTGTGTGTTACTAAGACAGTTGCCACCATAAAGGGTTATGTGGAGTCTTAGTTTTATCAGTTCATCAGAGAACTGACAGTGGAAGAGTTTAATATCAACAACAGGAAAACAAAGAAGATTCAGTTCAAAATTGAACACATCCGTAAGCCAAAATAGTGTTTACAATATGGTAGACATGGAATAGGTACTGGTTAAAGTGAATGAATGAATCTTACCAGTATCACCACTGATACGCATCTGTTGCCATACAGCTGTTCACTGGACAGCATATATAGTAGGGCAGCAGCACATGGCTCACATACCCATCACTAGTTTATTCAAAGCACATACCACTCAGACACAGGTCTAAGCATGTATCTCTTTAAGTGGAAGTGCTTTATCAAGGGATATATTTTTTCCCCATTTTCCATCTTTTAAAATTTTTTTTTGGAGTGAATTCAATGATTAGTCCTGCAAGATGGGACATTCTGAATGCCTGTGTGAAACTGTAAACTCCATATTTTCTGTGAATTCAAGAATGACATACATAACAAATGTGGTGTCTGCTTCAAACAGAAATGAGTGGAATCTGAATATCTGGAGATGTGGCATAAATAAACATATTTCCCCTGTAAGAGAGGATAGGATGTCTTTATTGACAAAATAGTTTTATTGGAATGAAACCTGACTCCATTCTATGTCCAATTCCCAATGACAGAGAAAATGTCTACTATTATGCTTTAAAGTTGAAGTAATTTTTTTTTAATTTTGGCAAAAATGGATATTTATTAAAAACACACACACACACAAAACAATTCCATGGGGGGTTTGGTTTGTGTTTCATTCTTTTCTACTTTATGTCCTCATTTTGATGGAGTATATCATCTAATACATTCCCGTGAAAATATTTGTAGACAATACTATTGTTTTTTGAGATTTTGGATGTTTAAAACTCTATTGTATGCTCAATTTTTATTGGCAGTTCGAATGGATATGGGATTCTAAATTAAATTTTTTTTTCTTAGACTTTCCTTCACATGTTAATTTTCTAAATGGATTCTTTAAGTTTCTTATCTATTCCTGTTAGTTGGTCATGTCTCTGTTTTGTGCTGAACTTGCTGAGAGAACGTGTCTGTTTTGTGTCCTAAAGAGAGTCCTCTATGTTGTGTTTCCTGTTACTCTTTATTTTGATAGCTTCCTCTCTTCATTTCATAGGTGTACAGTCATCCCTTGGTACCCATGGGTGTTGGTATCCGGATACCCAAATCCGTGGATGTTCAAGTCACTTAAACAAAATGACATAGTATTTGCTTATAACCTGTGTATATCCTCCTATATACTTTAAATCATCTCTACATTATTTATAATACCTAATAGAGTGTACATGTTATGTAGATAGTTGTTACAGTGTATTGCTCAGGGAATAATGACAAGGAAAAAAGTCTGTGTATTTTTAGTACACATGCAACCATTTTAGGCCCAGCTGCATTGTATGTGTCAGCAACAATGTAACTTAAAAATGTATACTTTTCAATGCACAGTTGGCTGAATCCATGGATATGGAGGTCCAGCTATACTATTTTGTCTTTGAGGATAATCCTAGTGTTTGTGATTATGGTCTCTTAATTTAATTTCTTTAGGTTTCCTCAGTTCCCTTTCTTTTATTCGTTTGCATGTTAGTTTTGTTGTCTTTCACGCTAGAGGCTTTCTTCCAGCATCGTGTCTGAGAGGGGGCACAGAAAGATCGGGGGAACTCCACATACCTTAGTGGGGCTTTTGAACTGGTGAACGCGCTATAGGAGGGTGGAGGAAAATACCTGTCTATTGGTCTGAGGGACTCGTAAGTGGCAGTCTCTGTAGGTGTTTAATTTGTGTTCAGTGTGCTTCTCCACAAAGAGAGAGAAAAGTCAGCTTGCTTTGTGTGGCTTTGTGTCCGTAGGTGCATTTACGTTTTCGCTCCCCCTCTGTGGGTCAGCACTGTGTTTTCACTATTCTAAGCTTAGGTTGGCCATCCTTGTCTCATCCTGTCTCCTGTCCTGCCTTTGTCCTTCAGTAATACAAACATATATGTTTAATATCCATGTGCAGAGAGAAGCCATTGTGGAGAAGATAGTATGGAGCTGTACCTTGGATGTGTATCTTTGATCAGTTTCACAATGTAGATTAACTTGGGAGACGGGAAGAGGAGGGGAGAAACCTTCCAAACCGAGGGAAAGGAGACGGAAAATGACTTGCAATGATGCATGCGATTGGATGGACAACCTTGTTCATTCAACTACTCATGCTTTCCTAAGAGCATTGTTGTCTAAGGGAATACATAGGATTAATCAAATTAAATAGAGTACCTTGATAAAAACACTCTTGATTGTTTGAGACAATTTATTCCAGTATCTAATATCCCAACATACATCACGTGGCTGTTTTACTCATATGAAAAGTAGTGAATTGATAATATGTGACACTTTAATGAAAATTGTAATGTAGGAGTTGGTATTACTGGGAAGGAAAAGAATTGGCAAGACTGCTCCTGATAATATATGAGAGATTTTTAATTTTATGAAATAACAAAATAATGAAATTGTGCACAGGAAACAAAATTATGTTTTGACTTAGTTTCACTGATGGGCCAAGTCAGATATAAGTGGCTTTCCAGTTGTTGGGAGGACTTCCACAGATGTCACTTACATGTACATTTATGAGTTTAAAGGGTTGAGTTTTTATACTGCTATAATGGTAGTGGAGTTATAAAAAACATTTTATTCATTTATGTCTCCATTTAGGTAAGTTTCAAATAAGTAGTTTTTATTTTGTAACTTCATCTTCTTATTTACATGCAAAAAAAATGTTAACTATACATCTGATATTATTATGGAAAATTGGCAAATATTCAAAAAATTAAAATAATATGTCGCTATTCAAGAGTAATTCTTTTAATATTTGGTTTAGTCATTTTCCCCAAACACACAATAGAGACATTACTACTTTTTAAATTTCCTGTGCTGTGCAGTTTTCCCATTTCATTAAACTGTCTTTGAGAATTTGAACTCTAATGATGGCACACTGATCTTGAAACCTGCATTCGAAAAATGTTTTAGTTTATGAAGCCGAGTAGCATCCAATGAGGCATTCTGTCCCAAATCCAGCGGCGAGGAGAAGGGGGTCGGGGAGGGGGGCAGGCTGAGGAGGTGAGTGCGAGGTGCCCGAGTGAGGCCAGCAGGGCAGCTGTCATGGATGAGGCTGCCACCTCCCTGCTGTCTCTGACCTTGGACTTCCTTAACAGCATAGTCTGGATTCTATTAAAGGAATTTCATGTTTTTCCTTTGCAAGAGTCACCCCCTACCATGACAAATATTTTAAAATGCATTTTTTTTTTAAAGAAAAAAAAAGTTGAAAAGGCAACATTTTTTTCCCCCAAAGAAATTTATAGTTCAAATTTACACCAAGTCCTCCTGGCTGGAGCGAGCGGTTTTCACGACAGCCTCAGCTTTCCTCTGTAAAACATTAGTCACTCCCTTGGAAGAAGTGGGTTTTTTATGGGCAGGGGGATAAAGCAGCCACAGATGTGCATGTGAAATGATGGGCTCAAGAATGTACCTGCAAAGCTGTTTTTTTTTTTTTTTAATTTGGAGGAGAAAAAAAAAGATGAAAGAAAAAAGACTAAATTGGGATGCTACAATAACAGAGATTCGGTGTCAGGAAACAATCGGTTTTCGATCCGTTTCAAACAGCATTTACTTTTCCCCTTTCCTTTTTTCTTGGGAAGTTCTTGAGATTGTGCCAGGTCGTTTCCACTGCACAGTTTGCAGAGGTATTTGCCATTCCCATGTGTAACGGGTTGCTTTTTACTGTGCAGGACTGTGGTGACGCCTGTGGCCAAAGAGTTTGACCCAGACATGGTCCTAGTTTCCGCTGGATTCGATGCCGTGGAAGGCCACGCCCCTCCTCTGGGGGGGTACAAAGTGACAGCAAAATGTAAGTACATCCTTTAGGGCCATATGAAATGCTGCTACGTCATAGCATCTTTCGGTCTTTAAAATAGCACCTTCGGCTCAGTCTAGTAAAGTTAGGTGAGATTGTTGAAAACAATTCAGATGGTGTTTACTACTCTGTCAGATTCACCTCTCTGTAGAAATTGGCCTTTAAGAAAAACAAAGTTAATTTGTTTCCTTTGGTGGGCTTGGGGGGACAATTCAGAACCTTCATGTATTTCAGGAGTCCCGCATCGCTGTTTAAAGGCAGAAGGGATAGGGCTTCTGTTTAAAGTATGTTGAATGACTGAAAAGGTCATGCGTCTAGAAAAGCTACTGGACTTTTTACAAGGAGAATGGAAGTTGCTGTTTTTATCCCATTGTACAAGGAGAAAAGAAAAAAACAAAACAAAACACGATTTCCCAATACTACTATGCTCTTTGGGTTTGAATACAAAGTGTGGTTCCCGGAGCTCACAGGCTCTGTACATGCCTGTGGGCCATGCTCAGGGTCTTCTGTTGTGTTGCAAAGATTACTTCTTTGGCTGTGTTCCTTAGCAACTAGACACAAAATGAACAAATGAATATTGTGTTATGTTGCATTTGATTGATGTGACTTAATGCTTTTTGGCTAGAGTCTTTCTTTAAGAATAAGTCAATGTTCTCTGAGTGTGAAAACAAGGCATATACATTGTCCATGCATACAAATGTTTGATAGCACTCTGCATAGCTATTAAAAACAAAAAAAAAACCAAAAAAACGAAGGAAAAAGAAACATTACACAAAGAATAGGGTCCATCATTGTGTTTTTTTTTTTTTTAGTGGGTTAGGGAGAAATGAAAACAAACAAACCAAAAACAACCCAAATAGTGTTAAGTGAGAGAGATGAATTTGGATCAAGCATGTTTTATTAATTGGAAAAGAACCAAAGAACCAGCATCATGCCAACCTTTGTTCTCAGTTGGCATCTCATGTGAGAGAGTTTTCCGCACTCTAATTGTTCCAGTAACATTGTTAGGTAGTAGCTATTTTTACCATCTATTAGTTCCCCTCCGTTCTTAGTGCCTTGTTGTCCATTGAAAACATTAAAAGAAGCAACTCCACGGGCACAGACAAAACATAACTCACGGTTTTGGTGACAATGTAATAGAGAGGTGTTTGGTCACATCAAATGTCTTTACAACCCTTTTATTTTCTTCATGGAATGGCACACAAGCAGAAGTCAGTCTTTCCACTAGGGATAAACCTCATTTGAGTCAAGATTGGTGAATAGTTTAGTCTAAATAAAAGGAAAAAAAGAGCTTATACCCCAAACTGAGATAAACCCAAACAATAAAAAACACATGGACCACGATGGAAATCCAGAAAAGGTGTTCCTTGTTATTAAATCCAAGAATCTCCCTCAGGAGGGAGAAATATCGGAGAAGTATCTATACTTGGGTCTTATTCTCTGCCAAGGAGACAAGCTGTAGCAAGTCCACTTCTCGGAATTAGCCAGAAGAAATTAATCTTTTTGTTTGCTTGCTTGCTTGTTTGTTCATGTTTTTTTGTTTGTTTGTTTTGTTTTTGCCAAGTCAATTCCAAATATCAAATGTCATCTTGGAAGGTAGAGTAGGAAGTAATAGCAGCATGATTTTTGGGGTCATGGACATAGGAAACGTGGCTCCTCCTCTTGTTAGCGTCAGTACAGTGCGCAGAGACCTTTCTCATTCTGTGTGTCTTCAGCCACTTTGGGGGACATTCTTCACTGCTGTCTGTGCCAGGATGAGTTTTTCTATAATCTCTCCAACCTCCCACCCTTCCTTATCTATTTCTTCCCTTCTATGTTTTTTTTCTACTCAACAGGCCATGTGCTTCCTTACTAGGTGATTTGTTTATTAAGAAAAACAGACGTACATTTGAAGTGATTTAATAACTGGCCCTTTCTTGAGTACTTGCAGTTAATAAAGGAAAAGATATCCAACGAGGAGAGGAAATCTTAGAACCCGAAGAGGTTGTAGCAGAGGCTATCTAAAACAGCTCACATATTTTATAGATGAGAAAACGAATTTACATTATCATCTGACATAATTGAGGTTAAACCAAAGTGCTTACCCTGAATTTGTACTTAGATGACATTGCATAAGGCTTTTACTGGATTTCCTCACTAAATAGAAAAATGTTTCATAAAATGCGTGAGGACAGAGAACTTGGATGCACACCACACAGACCATTTTGTGCCTAAGACCCTTAACTTCTCAAGCACATTCTGTGATAGACACTGACTAGCCCCGTGATACTTCAGTGAAAAACAACAGAGCATCACATCTGGGCAACTGTCTGTATATATCATCTCATACAGGCCTGAGTTGACCAGCTGTGTTTTCTAGAGATGCTGCCACATTAACTGGGTAGAGGTTAGCGTTACTGGACAGCTGCGTAGTTGTTCCCCAAATAGCTCACTCTTGGGTCTCTTTGTTCTCTTTCTAACACGTGGCAGATGCATTTATAATGCTTTGGTCTGAACGTTCTGCACAGGCCATTAATATTGGGCCTTCACTGTCTCATGCCAGGAGTCATCCTCCGTTGAAGGGGAGTCCCAAAACGAGGCTAGAAATGGGCTAAACCTAAAAGTAGGTGGAAATTGTAGAAACAAATTCCTCTCCTAATGTTTTCCCATTCTGCTAAAACTCACCCTTGCCCCAAGTCAAATGTTCAAGGATTTTAAAGAGTGATTTTGTGATCATGTCAGAGATGTTAAAACTTTGTTATCTTCTCACATTGAATGAATACTTTAAAATAACTATTCAGGAAGGAAAGTATAAAGTCAAAACAACTAGTGGTTTTTGTTTGTTTTTAAAAATCGAATTGGCTACCTGTTTTTCTTTTAAAGAATTGGTTGAGAATGCGACAAAAGTTTCAGCCCAAATACAGAGGTTATTTAAAATTAAAGTTGGTTCTTGGCTAGTACTACTTTTTTCTCATTTTTTTACATATTAAATGTCCTCTGCTGTGAAACTACAACAAAGATATTCAGATTTGTTTCTGCTAAAGTTTAAATAAATTATCTGAATTAGTTATTTGAAATCTATGCCACTCTTTCAATTAAGCACCAAGATTAAGGTCCAAGCTGAGAGGAACAAGTATCATTGTGCCCTTCCTGGGCCCTGCCTCAAACTTTACCTTGAAGGTATCAATTTATCTCTTGAAGTACTCTCGTTTCGATCTGATGGTCTTCCGGTTACAGTTTTAAAATGTTGGCATGACAACTAAGTGCCATGTTCAGATAATAAAATTGAGTGAAATCGATTGACCATATTGTAGCACCTCCTGGCTTTACTGTGTTGTCATCATTAAAAAATATAATAAAGGTTCTTTATTTATTTATTTATTTATTTATTTATTTTATTTTTAAATATGTTTTTATTGATGATTTTTATTTTTTTTATTTTTTTATTTTTTTTTCCACATCTTTATTGTAGGATGTAAAATGTATTACAGATGTTCCACATTTTTCCCCCATTGACCCCCTCCTCCCCACTCCTGCCCCCCTCCCACCTTTTCCCAGACTATTGTCCGTGTCCATTGGTTATGCATATAAGTTCTTTGGTTTATTTCTTCCCACCCCCCCAACCCCTTTCCCTTTGAGGTTTGTCAGTCTAGCAATGAATTTGTGCTTCTTAATCCCTTCACCTTTTTCATCCATTCCCCCAACCCCTTTCCCAACTGGCAACCAACAAAATGTTCTCTGTATCTATGAGAATGTTCCTGTTCTTCCTGTTCATTTTGTTTGTAGATTCCATTGTTGATAGATATGTATTCATTGCCATTTTGTTTGTTCATACATTTTATCTTTTTCTTTAAAAAGACCCTTCATCATTTCATATAATAACGGTTTGGTAGTGATGAACTCCTTTAACTTTTTCTTGTCTGGGAAAGTCTTTATATGGCCATCGATTCTAAATGACAGCTTTGTAGGATAGAGTAATTTTGGTTGTAGGTTCTTGGTTTTCATCACTCTGAATATTTCTTGCCACTCCCTTCTGGCCTGCAAAGTTTCTTTTGAGAAATCAGCTGACAGCCTAATGGGAACTCCCTTGTAGGTAACTAGCTGCCTTTCTCTTGCTGCTTTTAGGATTCTCTCTTTGTCTTGAACCTTTTGCATTTTGATGATGGTGTGTCTTGGTGTGGGCCTCTTGGGGTTCATCTTGTTTGGGACTCTCTGTGCTTCCTGGACTTCTATGTCTGTTTCCTTCACCAAGTTAGGAAAGTTTTCTGCCATTATTGTTTCAAACAGGTTTTCGATTTCTTGTTCTCTCTCTTCTCCTTCTGGCACCCCCAAGATGCGAATGTTGGCGCGCTTGAAGTTGTCCCAGAGGCTCCTTACACTATCCTCATTTTTTTGGATTCTTTTTTCTTTTTGCTGTTCTGGTTGGGCGTTTTTTGCTTCCTTATATTCCAAATCGATGGTTTGCTCCTTGGATTTACGTACTCTATTATTGAAGCTATGTAAATTATTCTTTATTTCAGTTAAAGCCTCCTTCATTTCTAACTGTGCAGCGATCATTTCTGACTGGTACTTTTTTATGCTCTTGAGGCCCTCACTGAGTTCACTGAGCATCCTTATAAGCAGTGTTTTGAACTCAGCATCTGTTATGTTGCTTGTCTCCATTTCACTTAGTTCTTTTCTTGGGGTTTTGTTCTGTTCTTTCATTTGGGACCTGTTTCTTTGTCTCCTCATTTTGGCTGCCTCCCTGTGTTTGTTTCTGTGTATTACTTAATGAGAGGTATGGGGCTCGCTGAGACCCGATGCTGCTCGTTTGAAAGAATTTAGGAAAAACCTGAAGCAGGATCCAAGACAGGCCAATCCTATGGTTAAGCAAGTGGCAACAGCTTGGGTGGGCTTGAAAGTTGTGTGGGGCGGGGTGGGGTGGGGCCTCAGGGAGTCGGTGAGCCAGGTTGCTGGAGTCCCAGATATGGCGACTGTCTGCCGCCCCAAGGAAGGGCTCACCAAAGGAACAAAGG